TCAGGTTTTCTTTTCTTTGGTAGAGTTCCGCTTCTTGGCAGAAGCATGTTTGTATCTAGGCGATCCATCACAGGCCGAGGATCGTGTAGCGGACCTCGGGTTGGCCTGTGAGACCAGCCCCTTGGCCTGTTCTCACAGGCCTGTGTTATATTCGGGGTAGGCCAGTCCAGGCCAGTATCTCTGTCGGTACCAGCCAGTCCTGTCCAGTCCCGTCAGTCCGCTAGGGTATACGCCAGCCATTGTCTGTTTTCAGCTCATTCCTCACTTGCACATTTTGGAGTACGTGCGTTGGAGTCTTGCGTGGGGAGCTGCGTTGTGCCATCTTGTTCCCCCTTCTTCCTCCATCTCCATCTCTGTCACTAGCGGAGCACCACACCTGGTGGGTCCGCTACAATGGTGGGGCTATCCTTTCAATTTTCGGACTCCATGCCCCCTAATTATGCCTGTATTACACCTGAGAACCAGCTCGGATACATTGGAGGGTACAATGCGCCCGATGATGGTGGAGTTATCCTTTCAATGTCCGGACTCCATGCCCCCTAATCATGCCTGTATCAGACCTGAGAACCAGCTCAGATACATTAGAGGGTACAATGCGCCCTTAATCGAAGTTCGCGATATCGAGGGCACCGTTGTCCTTGAATGTGTCTAAGGTAGTTTTCAGGCCCCATTCAGTAATGACGAGTGATGTCAGGGAGATCGGAGCGTTACAGAAAAGATTCATCCACATTGAAAAAGAAAGCAAAAATAAAAAATAAAACAATAATGCTACCTATCCGACAGGACAATGCACACAAGGGGAGGCGGACGGGGAACATGTGACGGACCCGCCGGGATGGTGGTCCGTCAGGATCAAGACGAAGGGATGAAGATGGGGGAAATGGAGATGGAGCTGGAAGGGACAGCGCAGCTCCAACGCAGACTCAACACGCACGTACTCCAATCTGTGCAAATGAAGAATGCGCCACAAAACAGACTGCAGCTGGGGTATACCCCCAGCGGACTGACTGGACTGGACTGGACTGGACTAGTACCGACAGTGGTACCGGGCAGGACTGGACTGGACTGATTAACCGCACGGCCTGTGCGGTCAGGCCACGGCCTAGTCCCACAGGCCGGACTGACAAATAGCCAAATAGGCTCTGGCTGTGGGCCAGGGCAGATGAAGGCCCGCTGCACGATCCTAAGACCTGTAATGGATCGCAAGAGCCATAAACACGCTATCCGCAAAAGCAGCGGAACTCTGCAATAAAGAAAGCTGAGAAATCTAGGATGCGGAGCAAGCTCCATGCAGAGTCCATGCGATGCATCCTAAGCTATATAATGTCAAAAGAAAAGCAAATGTCTGGTATACATATCCTAACTAACAGCAGAAAATGAAATGTAGTATGATACACTCCTAAAGTCCTGGAGCCAGTGGCCTCAGTGCTGAAAGGAGAAGAGCAATATGTCACAAGATAATGTCATGTCGCTGAACCACTAAAAGTGGGATGGTCTCAAAGGGGGTGAATGCAGCCTAGGAATCGAAACTCCTAAGGGCAGTCACACATGAAGGTGGGATAGGTGATCAGGCTCAAGGTGGGAGAGTGATAGCGAAACAAAACCAATGATCCTAACAGATAGACCATCAAGGCGGGTAATGCTCGACAAGGGTGACACCATGCAGGGTCGACCATGAAAAGGGGGAGTCTGGAATAGGGTGGAGATATGCCTAACTGAAGGCATGTAAGGGCCGGCACTAGGRTGATGAGGGCAGTGGGTGAGGGAAACATGCACACAACTCACCGACTATGGGAGGAAGGAGCTAGATCTGGGAGCAGGGAAGCCAAGAT